GACAATTAACTTTTCATTTGATCAAAACAGAAGTGCATGCACTTGAATGTCTCTCAACATGATTCATTTTTCCATAATGGGGCAATTGTGAGGGTTTTAAATATAAAGAAGGTTCTAATAAGGAATCACAGCTCCTTTTTAATCAGTTAAACCCAGATTAACATTCCCTGATACATAATACTGGCAAAACTTCTGAAAACAACCACTAAGGCAGCATTTTTCCTTCAAGTAGTGAAAAAGAACTAGTCCTGACACAGATTCAAATGAGAAGCATTTTAAGCAGGCTTACCTCAGATTCATCTGTTGATTCCTCAGTAGACCTGATTTCCTGTAAATGACACAAAGAACAAAGGGGAAATCAACTAAGTACATGTATAACTGAGCAGTATTTCCCTTTAAAGTCCTTTTTCAACCTTTATTAAGAAACATGACAAAGCAGAACCAACTCAGAGTTTCTGTCCTTTCCATTCAGACCCAGTTTCTCCTTATACTTGCAATCTAGTGCCACACTGACACTCAGTGGCACCAGTTGACTGTGATACTATTGTTATTTACCCTAAAGACAGAGTGATTCTATCAGCTGAGATTCCATGCCTACGAAAACTTCCCTCCTTCCAGAGGCAGTAGCAAGTTTTGCAAAGCAACTCCCCACACCTTGACTTCCAAGGTAGAATAGTATTTTCAAGTTATCCACAAACTAATTTTGGTGTTCAACTATTCAGCTGATAACTTATTTTAAATTGCAGTAAGTTCAAACCATTTTCCACAGAAACTCAGCATTTCATTGGATCACAGAATGGTTTGTGTTGAAGTGACCTTAAAGCTTATCCAGTTCCAATCTCCTGCCATGGGCAGGGACACCTTCCACTAGAGCAGGTTGCTCCAAGCCCTGTCCAGCCTGGCCTTGAACACTGCTGGGGATGGGGCAGCCACAGCTTCTCTGGGCACCCTGTGCCAGCACCTCAGCATCCTCACAGGGAAGAATTTCTGCCTAATGTCTAATCTAAATCTCCCTTTGCCAGCTTAAAGCCACTCCCCCTTGTCCTGTCACTACATGCCCTTTTCAAAAGTCCCTCTCCATTTAACAACTTTCTCCTTCTCCATACCATGTCAAAGCAATGCCATGGGGCTTTCTCTTGCCTTTGAAGCAACTGTACCTTTAAATTATCTCTCTCTGGCAAGGCAGTAATTCTTACTGTCCTACAAAAAAAATGTTGCAAGTCAACTCCTCCTAATCTCTCACCTGTCCACTGAGAAAATCTGCTGATGCAATGCCTCCTCAAAGAGGTCAGCAGAATGAAGATTTACTTAACGTATTTATCATTATCAATAGCAATAAAAGATTACAACTAATACGCTGACAGTGAATGTAAGCATTTTAACAACAAAATACTACACAAAGAACAAGTAAGAGAGACGGCAGCATTTCAAACCTCATGAAGTAGTATTTGGACAGCAAGATAAATTGGTAGAGAATTTCACCAGAGAAGGCAAAAAAGAAGAGACAATTACCAGCAGTTTCAAGAGAAATAAAAAGGGATGAAAAAATAATGCACTCAGAACCAGCATCATTTTTATTTGGACACATTTATTTTGTGTTTATAAAATGCATTGATGGTGACCTCTAGGCAAAAAGTAAACATTTCCTTTGCATTAGTGGAGGTTCACCTTTAGTGACCATGGTCACAAAGACGGGGCAGAAGAAAAGCAGCATTTCTACTGGCTACTTGAAACTCAGTGCAAGGTGCTACCACTATTACTGCCTTCTGTTTGGTCCAATTTACTTACTACAAGCAGTTTCACCTCCAAAACGCACGTGTACCTGACTATATACTGTGAGTTAAGTTGGGAAACTGCAAGTAGAACAAACACAGGAGTTAAGGGAAGATTAAAAGGGAGTAATATCCTGGAACACTTTGAAGTTTGACTTTGCAAATACAATTGTTTGTCCATCAGTCTGTCTCTACTCACACAATACAGTTACCTTTGAGGAAATAACAATTTTGTTATATACAATCTTTATGCATCTTAAATTCTACTTAACAGTACCTGAGGACAGAACTAAAACTTTGCTGTGTACCACTGCCAGCCTACTGAACAAGCTAAAGCAGCACATGAAGTCCAATGCAACATATTGCTAGGCACCTAACAAAACTCCCTGCCTTTCCTCCTGAATACCAAGAGTTTTTTACTCAACTTTTCAATAAACCAAAACTATTAGCACCACCATTTAGATATTTTGATACAGTTCACACTTTGTAAAAGGAGAATGTGTTTTAAAAATTAAATCTTTCTCCCAAACAAAATAAGCAATTACAGGAAGCGATATTTTTGCTGGTACACATGAACTTTATAGTACAGCTACATTACTTAGATTAGTTTTCCCCTCATGGTTCTAATTACTTTGGCTTCAGGAGAACACAAATGTAGGTATAAGCTCAACATTTAACACCCCATAGACAGACTCACATGAAGGCAGGGTGGAAAAACAACCCACTTGCTTTTACAGAAGCTGATTCTTACATCCACCCAAAACACTTTACAAAGATTAAACTGAGCTGCAAGTTATTATGTGCGAGATCATCCGTGGAAAATACTGGCTTACCGAACCAGGGCACACCAGAAGTTGATTCAAATAATCAGTCAGTGTGAATCAATAACGTATCAATCTGCTTTGATTCAGTACACGTGCCCTGGTATCCCTACTTCATTCAGGAGCCACTGCAACAGCAGCTACTACATTTCCTAACAGCATATAAATTCAGGCAAATACTTCATGGCCTTTATGTTTTACTGCAGAAAATAACATGCAAAAATTCAGAGGGAGTCTTGGCTTAGGAAAGAAATACAGAAACTTCATTTGTTCTCTGATAAGAACTTAACTGAAGCTGCTTACAACTGACACTCACCTACTAACTCACTTTATTAGCAACTTACTATGAAACGCTTTTTGCCTGAGTTCTCCCATTTGCGCCAACAAACTGGAAGAGTAAACTGCAGTTACAACTTCCCTGGGGTTTTGTTAGGTTCCTCTCCCTTCCCTCCAAATCCATGAGCCAAGAGGATTATCCCCCACTTCTACTTTTTAGTAGCCTTGTAACTGTGAAAAGGAAATCCCTCAGCTGGGATTTGTAGGTGACCAGAATCCCAAATCATGTAGGAAGAGCTGTCATTGGTGGGTCTCAGACTCTAGGGGAAAATCAGCAGTACACTTCAGCCAGCTGGCAAATGCAGTTGCTCAAGCAGCCTAAGAATGGATAAAAGGTACATGGATGAGCAATGCACAGAAATGTGAAGCTATCTCTGGCCATTATAATCTCTCACTTAGGAGATCCAACATTCTCAATAAATTCTAAGCTGGCTTTCCAATATGATGGATATGGGGGTTTTCCCTTCTCCACCTTGCAAAGATCAGATGCTATCCACTATATGTTTACGCTCATAGCTCAAAGGTGTTGGGCGAGGAAAACCATGAAACTTGGGTTTCAAAGAAACCTACATGCACAACAAACACATCCCTTTCAGTAGGGGTGTGCGTGCTCCCAAAGGAAACAAACGGAAATGAATAAAGTAACTTCCCTCCCATAGTCCAAAGAGAGCAAAACACAGGCTGTTTTCATCTCCTGCAGTATTAGAGAAGGTAACTTCTCAGAGCTGGTTTTACCCCAGGAGCCCTTTCAAACGCTGCCACAGTTAAAACCCCACCACACCACGCGATGAAGCCTCCCCCGAGCAAGCCAACCCTTCCCAACCAAACCCCTGGCAGCAGGGAAGCCAATTCGCTTGAGACAATTCTAACACTCTCCCACCTTTAAGCATCCAAGACAAGCATCACACCGCTTAGAATCACAGAATACCAGGTCGGAAGGGACCACAGGGATCATTTTTAGCTGGTATGTCAAAGTCCTGGTTCAGCAAAGAAACCCTGAGAAAGCATCTAAAAGAACGGGAAACTTCACTTCTTGCTTGTACTTTATTTATTTCTCGGCAAGAAGCAGTCTAGGCAGGGGGAGCTCCAGGAGAACCACAGGTAACAAGCACCAAACCTCTCGGATTTTGTCTCAGGAGAAGACTCCCCTGATGAGATGAACTTGCTTACGCCTTTCGGTAAACGGCAGCTTCTCGACCATTCCTAACAAATCCTTCAGCTCTTTAACCCTGGCTCTACAGCGGCGCCAGCTGCCTTCCTAATCCACCCGCTCCAGCCACCGAGCCCCAGGGTCCTGCACCGGGTGCTGTGTAAAGAGCAGAGCCCCCAGGGCTTGCTCCCCCAGCCCTCCCTCAGGTTGCTCCACACAAACCCCGACAGGCCGCGGCGGGCAGCCCCATCCGCGCAGCACTGAGGAGGAGCTGGGGCCTCCCCGCACCGCCGCCGGCCCTTGCCGGGCTGGCTGAGCCCCTGTCCCCTCACACACGGACTCCCCCTCCGCGCCCCAGCGCTCCCCTGCCCGTCCGGCTGCAATAATGCCCTCACGGCGTTACCTTCTCCTCGGCTTCCGCCATGGCGCGACCGGGGCGCTGTCACGTGAGGGGCAGGAAGCCGGCGAGAGCAGAGGCACCTGGGAAATGTAGTTTCGCCTCAGGTGTGCGTTTTACTCTTTTCTTTTCTTTTCTTTTCTTTTCTTTTCTTTTCTTTTCTTTTCTTTTCTTTTCTTTTCTTTTCTTTTCTTTTCTTTTCTTTTCTTTTCTTTTCTTTTCTTTTCTTTTCTTTTCTTTTCTTTTCTTTTCTTTTCTTCTTTTCCCTTTTTTCCTTCCTTTCCTTCCTTTACTTGCTTTACTTCTTTTCTTTCCTTTCTTTCCCTCCTTTCCTTTCCTTTCTTTCCCTCCCTTTCCCCCTTTCCCTCCCTTTCCTTTCCTTTCCTTTCCTTTCCTTTCCTTTCCTTTCCTTTCCTTATTTTTATTTTTATTTTTATTTTTATTTTTATTTTTTTCTTTCTTTTTTTTCTTTTTTTTTGGGGGGGGTGGTGGTGGTGGCATTTGCCAAGCTCTGGCCCTGGCAATGCTGTCCAACCACCTACACCAAGGCCCCAGGCACAGGGACAGTGCCTCCCAGCTGAGCTCCCCATCTGCCCTCCTCAGCTGCAAGCGAGATGGTTTCTTTTCAAGCTGAACTCCTTCGATTTCCTCAGGGAGACCTTAATCCACCGAGCTGTGATGGACTGAAGGCGGGTGCTGTGGTGAATGGTGAGGGTTAGCAAGGGGCTGGGTGTAGCTGAGGCTGAGATCCCCTTGCAGAGCACTCACGGCCATGTTGTGCACTGGACTGCCAGCTCTCCAGGATGAGGCCCATTTGTTGGCTCCCACCTGAGTACAGCTCTGGTTTCCATTAGATCCTCTGGTAAGATGTGTAGCAGCCTCTGTCTTCTGTGTATTTGTGCTTAATTTGCCAATGTTAAAATTGCCCCCACGCTTTAATGTCAGGAGAAAGGTTTTAGAAAGCCTAAATATCTTTGTACAGTTCTAGAAGCTGCTGCCTTTTCTTTTTTCTTTTATTTTTAACTTGAAAACAAGGCTTGAATGCCTTCCTTGCACCCAAATTACTTATTTCATATGTTAAAAATGCAGCTAAAGCTAAAGAGCAGTAGGCAGTATGTTTCATCACTTGCTTTTGGAGCTATTCCAAGTCTAAGGTGGAGCTACAGTGTTAATGTACCAAGTCTCTACCCTTGGGATCAAAGCCAAGAGTTTAAAAATGCACAGGTCAACATTGACAATAAAAGAGAAATCTTGGAATATGATACTAGAAGACGATAAGGCCATACAATTAAATTTAATTGCAGAGAGTATTACCTTGGATGTGAAAATCATGTATATCATTGACATACCTTTAGAAACTAATGGTGATAGTTCTGACTGAGAAGAGATAGATCTGTCCTTTAAAATCACACTAAGAGCTTGACGCTGGGGTGAGAGAGTGCTATCAAAGTTAACAGTGTCAGTACAGGAGCATATGAATATAACTATTATGAATATATTTCATTTGTGAATGATGTAATAGAAAAAAACCCTCTTTTTTCTGTCTGTTCCTAGATGTTTGTGGAGGATCAGGGTACCATGGCAAAGGAGTGTGTAGATGTCATCCTGGCCATGTAAGCCAAGAGGTATCTACAAACAGGGAGACGTTTGGCTGTCGCAGTACAAAATATTGTTGAGAGCTCACCTGGGTATAATGGTATATTTCAAATCACCTTTGTTGCAAAAAAAGATGAAATCAAACTGGAAGGGGGCAAAGGCCCACTAAAAGGATCACAGGAATTTAGGGTCTGTTCTATTGGAGAAGACTGAGAAAGAGAGGGGGTTGGCTTCTTCAGTTTAGAAACAAACAAGAGCTAAAGAGGAAGAAGAGCTGTTAAAGTACAAGCTATGAGATCAAATAGGGACCAGCTATTTCCAGTGCATTTACGCTGGAAATGAGAAGTAGATTCCCATGTGTCAGACATGCATGGTCCTCAGAAGAACCTTGTTAGCAAGAAGTTTAAATGATTTCAAGATAAGACATACAAAACTTATACAAGAGACTGTAATAGATGTTTGCTGACAGTTGTGTTGCTTACCCAGAGAACTCATTCCAGTCCCGTTCTAACTTCCTTGAATTGCAGTCCTGTTCAAATCAATTAAAAACATATCATTGCTGTCAATGGAGTTGGGATTTGAATTGTAATATGTAATGCACAAGCTATCTTACCTGATGCTTGAAGACTATATATATCTAGTGAAATATTTTTGGCTGATATGAGGTGTTTTTTCATGCTTTAAGGGAAAAAAAAGACCCACATAAGGGTTTGGGGTTTCAGGGTTGGTTTTCTTTCTTTTTGTGGCACTTCTTAAACTGGAATGAGCATTAATAACTGACTTTATAAATGCCAACCAAAACAGAGTATAAGGGAACGGATGGCAGATCTTGTAAACTTTGCTATTATAACAGCTAACACTGCACATTTGTTACAAACGGAGCAGTCAAGGAACAGCTGTTCCTGTTTCCATTGCACATAGAGTAAGTGGTATAAACAATGTGATTTACTCACAGTTTGCTACTTATTTCTGGCAGAAACAGGCAAAACTGATTTTTTTCTTGTTTAGACTTAAGGTATGAATTCAATCTGCTGTGATTATAGGTTTTCATTGTGTCAGGAAAATTTAATACGTTGGCATGGGATTCTGCCACCCCTCCCATACCCGCCTTCCAAAGCTGCTGAAAGCCATCAATAAGCAGTGACGTCAATGGGGTTTAACATCTTTCAGCACCTCCTGCATAGCTTGCTACAGACTTGGGCCTGAGAACATCCCAGTCAACCTCTGGAGATGACAAGCTTAAGCATGGTTCAGCATTAGTGAAAACTGTAGCACTGCCCAAGGAAAGTACATATTCTGTCCTAACCTTAAAAACTACTCTCTCTCACTGCCTGTCAGGCCATAGGTTTGAAGTTTGGATTAAGATAGCTGCACAAGAGGAAGAAGTTTGGGATCCCCGGTGAGATTATGAAGGCTTTGAAGTTTAGGTAGAGCATTTTGGCTCTGACCCTTCTCAAGTGACAGGCTGGCTCTACTTTAGTTTTAACGTGGTTCACCAAAAATAGCACTCTTCGTCTTTTAAAATAAAGATTTTACCCATACCATGATGTTTTAAATGTTCATAGTGCCTGCCTTAATGAAGGGCTTCCAGTTGATGGGAAATCTGCAGGACACTTTTAACAGGATGCTGACACTCCCCATCCAGCTTTCTAAAATTCAGGTCTGTCAGGAGTTTCTGATTTATCTTTTGCCACAGAAATCAGAATTATCATTGAAACTTGGACCTTGACCAACATTCAGATTACAAATACTGCTGGAATTTTTATCTCTTGCTTTAACACTCTTTCTCCCTCACTACTGTGAAACATAAGTAGCAAGTATCCATGCCATTTGGTAGAGATTATTGTATTTCAGCCTCCAAGAGCTCTCAGTTGCTTTCAAGTATGACTGATTCATCCAACAAAATATTCAGCTGGCTTGTCTCTCACCACTGTTGCCACCACTTACTCAGTAAAAAAAAACCCCAAATGGTGTTGTCTGTAAGTTGCTAGCGTTTAAAAACACTGTGCTGGATAAAACATAGCTAATGTTGTCAGAACAATAGGAGTTCAAAGGCTTCCCTCCTTCTGTTTGTTTGTAGAAAGAAACTTGCAAAGGCTTTTGTTTTCTTTTTTTTCTTTCCCTCCCTTGCTGTCAAAGAATTATTTCTGTGAAGATACTTTCAGTTTGCACCATAACTTCCACAAATATAATCTTGAATATGTTTAGGAACTTTGGGCATTAACAAAAATCCTACTTCAACTGCCAGCATTACATTGTTTTGCAGTTGTTTATCTTTTTCTTCTTAATCCACCTCTAAAGTTGATCACATTTCTTCTTGAAATAATTATCAGAAAAATAACTATAAAACCAATTTAAATTATAGTTTAAAAAACACAAATAACACGTTTTAATGACTTAGAGTTAGATATACCATGCTTATAAAGGTAAGCTCATGTGCAAATCTTCATGGGATAATCATTAACAAGGATAAAGAAATATCTCTTTGTTAACCATAGTACCGTATGAGCATCCTAGTAACTGCCTTCTTCAACTGGCACTAAAAATTACCCCTGTGTAATTTACAATAGCAACAAAAAAACAAGGTAAGGAATGGAAGTATACCATTACCACCATTACTACCAACTATTACTCCCAGTATATGCCACCCACCACTGCAGCATATTTAAATTTAAATGATCAGCTAGTTTTGTAAAAATGAGTGGTAATATTATCAGAAATATTATTATAAATTCTTTAAAATAGTTGTTTTGTGTTCTCCAACATTTAAAAACCTTTCCAAATTATAGTGAATTATTTTCACATCCTTCAGGGAGAACGTTTCCCTTCATCTTTTCATTTTTCCTCTGACCCTGACTCCCTGCCTTTGTTTCTTCTGCTCCCTTTCTTTATCTCCACTCTCAGGGAGTCTTCACTGAAAGATACCTTCTTGTGCTGGCTAGCACACACAGAGAAGATGAAAAAATGTGGAGAGCAGTAAAAAGCATAAAGCCAGTACAATTATCTGTTTATTAAAGATAAACAGTAGTTGTACATAAGGGGAAAGGTAGTAAGAGATCCTCTTAAAAACCTTATAGTTAGAAATATAAAGGGCCTAGCAGAGAAGGAGCAAACCTGGAACTGAAAAGTTATCAAGCTACAGGAAAATTCCATATATTTATAGATTATGAAGCAAGATGGGAATAGCACTGTAATTTAATCTGAACTCCTCCCTTACATGGGCCATGAGATTTACCTGAATTAATTCCTTTTTGTATCATTTTTCTTAAAGAGAGCATACCTTGACATAACAATTCCAATTACACAGAATTCCCTGCATTTCTGGTAAGTCATTTCAAGTGCAGTTATACTCACTGCTATTAAAATAAAGAACACACAAGAAATGTCTTCTTACTCGGTCAGAACAGTGGTTCATGTAGTCCAGTGTTTGGTCCTCTACCATGGCTCTAAGAGATGCTACTTGAAGAGAGCATCTACCTCTGAGCTCCACTCCCCTGGTCTTACAGCATTTAGTGGCATGGAATTAGGGATGTTAGAAGGCACCTTCATGACTGCTCCATCTATTATCTGTTAACAAAGGTGCTGTCAATGAATTTGTCTTTTCTTTTGGACCTTTGTTGTGGATCTTTGCAGATAATGCTTGCCTTCACAATCTGTTGAGGCAGTGAAGCCCACAAGTTCTCTGCCAGATGCTTAAAGTTCTTTCTTCTCTTTATCTTTTAAACAGCTATGGCTCTCCTACTAGTTTTGAGAAGTGCCCCTTAGTTCTAGTATTGCAGGACTCCATATAATGGTTTTTCCTTATTCCTATGGCACATTTACAATTGTCTTACTTCAGGTTTGAGTCCCTCCATTATGTTCACTATGGCATCACCTGTTAGGAACTTTTGAAAGTCTTCATTCAAAGAGTTCTGTTCCCCGTGTGAGTACTTGTAGCCTAAAGTGAAATCACTTCTCAGTCATTTCTTAAGTTAAATAGAAAGATGCCACTGATTCTTTCACAAAACATGGTTTACATCCTGCAAATAATTTTTGTGACTCTTGTCTGCTGTATCTCAAATCTGTTGCCATCTTTTGTAACTTGCACCTAGTCGGACATGACTCTATTAATGTTAAACTAATGCAAGATACTCATCCCTCTTGCATTTATTTTACTATTGTGACTAACTCTACCATTTCCAGCTCTCATTCTGTTGTAAGGATTCCTTCTTCTTCCTGATAGAATTAAAGCACTCCTTGTCTATAGTTCTTCTAACATTGACTAACTTTTTTTGCTGTTTCATATAATACGTATTTTTATGAATCCTAGGTTTTAATTTACAGTTACAGCCACTGATTTCTTTTCTCATTGAAACAATCAAAAAACCCTGTAGATATAAACCTATATTGGATGCTTTCACATCTTCCTCAAGGGTATTTTGTGTTTTGTTGTCTTGTTGTAGAGTCCTCCCTATTTTAGGAGTTTGCAATTCCCATTTATATGTTCCTTGTAGCTGGTTATTCATCAGTTTCATCTTTTAAAAGCAGCATTAATGTTTGTCTTCAGTATGAGCTATATTCCATTGTCAAACATAAATGTAATATGAGTAATGAGCATTTTCATCAAAGAAAGCACCCAGATTTGATCTAATTTAAAATTAAAGTATAATGGTTAGAACAGTATTAAGATATTGTTTGGTCGAGAGTCTCCAGAACAAGGTTAAATTTAATCCCCTTGTTCATATTTAGGTTTTGTTAGCTTTTAGCAATTGGTCTTTCTTGCTATGCACTGAGAACTGCTGTCTACTTTTGTAAGTGAGGTTAAGTCTTAAAAGAAAATACATATTCAGGTAGGACCCCAAATCTTGACTCTAGGACTTAATAGTTTTATTAACATTTCTGGAATTTGGAATTGAAATACTAAATCCCATTTTCTAAAACTTCAGTCTGGGTTAAGGTAATTCTTACAAATCATCTGTCTTACAATGTGACTTCTACAGAACTGTGTATCGAGTTTGTTATGACCAACTTTATTGTGTACATTACAGGTATAATGAAGTCCTTGTCATTACTGTATTGACACTTCCGTCTGTATTCTTGTTATAGGTCACATCAGCAAGAGACTCCTGTTTCCCAGGGTGATTGGTGCAGACTGTCTGGAGGCATTGACTTCTTATGAGTTTCCAATTTTAAATACCTGCAGTGGTATGAAGATAGTTTTTCTGTCTGTTGGGTGTGTGTCTTTCCTTTTGCTGAGGTTTTTCTTGTCCAAGAAGGAGACACAAAAGGAACATGCAAAAGCACAAAGCCTTCTGGGGTAGTGCTGGGGGTTCTCTCAAGAGGAAGGAGCCACACTTGGTGGGCTTACCATGGTATTATGCCTATAGCAGACCCTGAAGCAAATTGTCACAGAAGGCACAGGTTTCCTCCCTGCAGAGGGAGCCCAGATCTAAACAGTCACGTGCACGATTTTGGTGATCAGGGCAACAGGGCACTGGAGATGAAGAGTGAGCCAAGTTGGCAGTATGGACCCATACATAATAGAATAATTAGACTAGAATAAGTCAGTGTTCCTGTGGTCTTTCTATGTACAGGTGATATTACCCAGGTAGGTATTTTGATATTATTTTCTTTATTCTGTTACAAATCTGTGTGAATCTCAGTAATTTACTGTTTTGCTCATACCCGCAGTTACTACCAGGTACTGATCTTGAGTAACCAGATGATGATGTAGTAGTAAGTTTCCCAACAACTCTGTGTGGTGTGTGTTTCCTATTAAAGAAGACCACCTAATTGAAAAGCAGATTTCCAAATGGCTTACCTAAACTGACACATCACAAAAATCTCTCTTTTCCAAACCTTAATGGCATTCTATATATATACAAACTGTATTACAGTGATACACAGATATACCTTGGATACATATTGTTGGTCTGCTTGTATTTTAATCTAAAGAAGAATGAAGTTTCAGGATACAGTTGAATAAAATTAATGAAACATAAGCCATCCTTTTTTAATCTTAAGTTTCATGCCTGATGAACGTTCTTCCATTGTTAATTAAGAGTTGTTCATTAAAAAGGTTAGAGGTAGCAACATTTGTTCAAGTACCTTAGAGAAGAATTTGTAAAACAGGAACAGATTGCTACCTAAATAGTGTCATTTTCATCAAAAAACAATCCTGAAGAACATGTAATTTGGTATATTTATATATATATATATAGTGGATAGATGAATTGTCATTGTAGTACGAAGCTTCCCTGTATTTGGCTTAGGCTGCCTCATTTGCTGTGTTGTGAAGACAACATATATTGTGTGTTGTAAATCAGTTTGTTTATGCCACATCTTCTCACTGTTAGAGATTTGGAGTTCTTTTGGAAGTCCTTTCCACCTGAAACAAAAGTGGTGCTCTTTTTGAACTTGTCGTATTTTGTGTGGCTTCAAGGTGAAAAAAACTATAGATCACATGTATTTTCAAAATAACCCTCTTCCTCTAAACACCAAAAAACCCCACCCTATAAAGTAGCGTTTTCAGAAGCAGTTGCTTATCCCTGCTGCCAGTGAAGTTGATAGAACTTTTATTATTGATTTCAGTAGGAAGAGATTTAGACCAACATTATATGCTTTTGAAAGTATTAACCATTATTCTTCAAATAATGAAGATAAGAAATAAGTATTAAAAATTCTTAATATGTTTTCTTTAAGCTGTGTTCTAGCTTGCCTTTGACTCTGAGAAGTCAAATCACCAAAGCCTAGTAAAGCTCTCTCCTATTCCTTTTCTTCACAAGTGTTATTTCTGATAAGTATTTTCCCTCACTTCTTCTGATCCGCTCTGTTACTGAAGGTTTTTAATGGAGCCAATATTAAAGAGAACATTGGAAAATCTATTTTGTATTTACAATGAAAAACACTTTTCTTCTTCTTCTTGACATACACTTAACCTCAAGGAAAAATACTTAGCTTTCCACCTACTTAAATTGTGTACATAATGTACAGGAAATGATTGATGAGGTTATCAGAGTTCCTACCTCAGAAATACTGTATGCTTTCCATGCATAATATTCCAGTTATAACCATAGAGCATATTACACTAACATTCTGAAGTGAATTCTCAACTTCACAATCTTTGTATATATTACTGCTTCACTGAGATCTGGAGAGTGGAAAGAAGGAAAGAACTAAAAAACGTGGAAAGGGAGGAGAAGCAACAAAATGAATTAAGGCACGATTAGACCCGTGCCAAGCAGATAGCTACTGATACTGCCATTTGATAGATGTGACATAAAATTCTGGTGCCACTAAACTGAGTAAGGGGTTTGCTGTTCATCAAAAAGGGGTTAGAACTTCTCCCAAATATTCCGTATTCCCTGTTAGACCTAGGACTGAAACATTCAGTAGTTATGAACACATGAAATAGAGGCACGTAGCTGGTTACAACAGGATTAAAAATAAAAGCCCATGTATTTTCTGATGATGCAAAGTTGCCTTCATTCCCAATTATTACAGTGTAACTGACCCATCTTAATTTGGGCACAGATCCTGCAATTTTATACATGAGAGAAGTCCAATTAACTTTCCTGCAGCTCAAAACATTAAGTTAAAAGGTGTCATAAGCCTGTGTATCCCCTCTAACTGGTGCTACCACCATACCGAAGTGGTACTGCCTGAACAGAGGTGCAAAATGGATTCCGGCCAGAAGAATAAATCCTTTCTTGTTCCAGTGAACTCCCTTTTCTTTCCAGCTGTGTATGACATTCACACAAATAACCATTTACATTTCAGACCCTTTTTACACTCCCAGGAAACTTAAAGGAAAAGCAGCCTCTCAGGGTAACTGAGGATCAGGCCATCAGTTATTGCCACCAGGCATTTTAATCACAAATTCCCATACCTATGAGAAAGGCTGTCCATTTCCTGAAAACACAATCCTCACTCTCTGTTCTGTTTTCTGTTACTCTACTCATAACCTAGCTTATAAAAATCCTTTTATACTCAGTCCTTTCTTTGATTACATCTTTAGCTGCATGTACCAACCTGCTTCTTTGCACAAGTATATTTTCCTTGCCATCTCTTCCCATCCTCTTATATCCCCTAGGATTTGACCCTAGACCACATAGCTGAAGTCTGATAGCTCACCCTGGGACAATCCTTGATTATGAAGCAACGTCAGAGTCAAAATCCAAATCCCTGGGGTCCAAAGGTAGTGCCTGTAAGTGGTACCTGAGCTAATACACAGATTGTTTAAGTCTCAGCTCGATGGACGTGAATAAATAGAGCTGGCACATGGCACTCACAGGGTGAGATCCTCCCCAAACAGCATTTTTTTAAATTTGAAAATATTTTTTGAAATAAATTCTTTCCATTCTTCTCACTCTTTGGCTGCTGTGAAGGTATTAGGTGGATAATACCTTTATGAGCTGTTGGGTTGGATATCGAAGGGCTCTATCCGTTGCATGCTAAGCATGCAGCAGCAGAATGCCACTCCTTACTTTTCCACTTCATTGAAGAAGATTTTCAGTACACTGCTAAGAAGCAGCCTCAGTGTTACCTGTGCCTGCATTCTGTGGGCAGCTAGTGACAGCTCACTAGCAGCCAGAAAATGCCCATAGTGCTTGAAAACTGTTACAATCCGTTTGCTTCATGCAGAATAGGTGAGGAGCAGCTTCCTGTTTTTCAAGTGGGGACAGTGAGGCAAAGAGCATTACTAACTTATTTTAAGCAACTTAAAAGGAAAATCTCTGTCTCCTGATTCCCAGCCTCATGCTTTTGACTACAGGACAGACCTTCTACCCCATGATGGCCCTAATGCCTCAAGTATTGCCTTTTTCCATTAAGCAAATATTGATTTTGTTCTCCTGCTTGAAAACAGACTAGAAATTAACAGGGCTCTTTTTGGTTACTTCATTGTTTGTGAATCACCTGGGAATAGTATTTATTAGTTAACTGCTGTTGCTCATCCAATGGGCGTTCACAACCTTTTTTTTTCCCCATGGTATGTGTTAAATAGCAGCTATTAAGAATGCTTCTCCATGACAAAGTGCTAGGCTTTCCCTTTAACTATTTAACATCCTGCAGACAGTACAGCCCTCAACATATAAAACAGATGACTCAGAAGAAATAGGATAGGGGCACTCAAAGATCCTGTTATTTATTTTATGAGCATCCAGCTTCTTATTATAATTAGTCCTATTATGTTGTGGTGGTGATGATAGTGTGGTACTTTGATGAGAGGATACAATTTCTGTCTGCAAGAAGAGACTTCTAAATCAACACAGGATCTCATTCGAATTCCATCTAACCCCTTGAAGTAGCTGGGATTAGTAAGAGATGGGGAGGATCAAAGGGTGATAGGAAAAGATGCAAGTGAACTGCCATGATTAGAGTAGGTGGTAGCAGGCACAGCACACAGGGATTTTGGAGGTTTACTAATACATCTAGCACTAGTCCTGAAGGATCAGTGTACAGATCTCCTATGTCAAGTGATACATAGCATGTTACTTCAGAGTTTAGTCAGAAGAGGGCAAAATTACTGGAGTAAAAAACCTAACAATTATTTCCTAAGGCAGTTTCTGTGAGACGACTCGATGGAGATGGAAGATAGGGAAAGTCACGGGAGCTGACTGCTATCCTGTGATGTGCCACAGACTCAAGAAATGATAGGGGAGAATTCTTTCACTGTTCTATACCTCAGTTTCCCCATCAATGAAACAGAAGTAATGAAATGTACTGATTGTTGTGAAGTATTTTGATATCTAGAGATGAAAAGTCCTAAGAACTTGAGTCTCGATCCAAAGCCCTTTGAAGTCCTCAGAAGGCCCTTGATTCAGCTCTCTCAATTTGCATTTGCCTTAGTCTGCAAGTCACCCACCAGTCTCCTGAAATTTGGAAAGGTACCACCCAATGCATTACTCAAAGATGGAAAAATACATTCTCAAGTAATCATTATCATTATCTTTGGCTATTTGACTCTTCAGTTTGAATTTGCAAAACAGCAGTGCAATATATGCATTTGGATTATTTGTAATATTTTACAAGATCAAGGTGAAAACGTAGAAGATAGAGAAGGAAAAAACGCAGCATGTTTCCCTGACACCAAAGAACGAACTCTGACAGAAACAAGCTTTTTTTCTTTATCTTTCTTCTCTGAAGATAGATGAAAAAGATCAGGAGAAACTATGT